CTACAATTATTTCTTAGGTGTTTCTCTGATGAAAAAAGCACAACACACACATATATGAGATACCACCCCATTTTGGTTTCTTCCTGAACATGAAAACTCTTTAAATACAGATCAACTTACATTTTGCTTTAAAATTTAAATTCTGTTTAATTTGACTCGTATCACCGACTTTTTAAGGAAACATTCTCATTTACAAGAAAAAAATAGTTACTTTATATTATTTTAAATAATTTTGAGAATTGATAAGTAGTTAGTTTGAATAGTACAAGCAATATCTAAAAAATAGGTTTAGAACAAACCAACCTTATATGATTAATTTAGTCGAGAATTGTTCTCACTTTATACTTTTAACATGAGATTTGAATTTTTTCTATTAAACTTTATATTATCATTATAAATTATTTAAGATAGTTTAGACTTTAATATTTCATGATACAGTGTTTGGATTAATCCAACTCAACTTTCATGAAATTGCAATATGGTGAAATCAGTGATAGACCTAGGTTGCCCAGATTACTCGAACCCTAACTTGGGAAACATGAGAACATTATTCAGATTTTTGGAGTGTCTGGTTTTTATTTAGTTGCACGTCTTAGTATCACACCAAATATCTAAAATTATTCATTTCTGTTAGTGGTATAATTTACAATAAGACAGAATATGTTGTTTGTTTGAATTGAAGCTGAAAATAGATTGTATTAATCATATCATACAGCTTTTGTAGAAATTTTACAACATGTAAGCGTACAAAATCAATGATAAAAGAAACTGTTGTGATTTGTTGTGCTACTTTCGTTAAAAAAACACACACACATAAGAATTATTTGTGGGAAACAAATTTTATAATATTATGCGAATTGTTTTTCTATGAACATTAAATAAACAAGATTCGTACAGATTAAAAATATTTTGAAGAAACAGAATCACAGGATTAAAAAAGAGAACAAAATAAATAAAAGTGTTAAATGTAATAAATATATTCAATGTTATAGAAGAAGAGAGATAGCGATAGATTCAAATACGTTTAAAATTTTAAGTTTAAATTTTATTAATATATAGAACCGGTGGTAAAAGAATTGAGATAATATATATAGAATTTTAAGGTTAAATCTTATTAATGTCATTGAAATTTTTATGAATAAGAAAATGTGAGTACTCAAACATCATTATTTATATATATTATACGTAGTATAATATAATCTTAATTTGTGTTTTACAAGATTTAATTTGGAGATAAGAAAATAATTGTAATTTTTGTTATTCACATTTGGTAGTTTTTTTTTTGTTCGTCCCTAGAGTATTCACCACTGATAGGCGTGACTAATCTCCTTGTTACGAGAGAAGCTGAAAATAAATTGTCTTAATCATATCATACGGCTTTTGTGGAAATTTTGCAACGTATAAGCATACAAAATCAATGATGAAAGAAGCCGTTGTGATTTGTTGTGCTACTTTCATTAAAAAAAGCACACACACATAAGAAATAATTGTTGGAAACAAATTTTATAATATTATGTGAATTATTTTTCTATGAACATTAAATAAACAAGATTCATACAAATTAAAAATATTTTAAAAAAACAGAATCACAGGATTAAAAAAGAGAACAAAATAAATACAAGTGTTAAATGTAATAAATATATTTAATGTTATAGAAGATGAGAGATAGTGATAGATTCAAATACGTGTAAAATTTTAAGTTTAAATTTTATTAATATATAGAACCGGTGGTAAAAGAATTGAGATAATATATATAGAATTCTAAGGTTAAATCTTATAAATGTCATTGAAATTTTTATGAATAAGAAAATGTGAGTACTCAAACATCATTATTTATATATATTATAATTGTATTTTTTATTATTCACATTTGGTAGTTTTTTTTTTGTTCGTCCCTAGAGTATTCACCGCCGATAGGCGTGACTAATCTCCTTGCTACGAAGGAAGCTGAAAATAAATTGTCTTAATCATATCATACGGTTTTTGTGAAAATTTTGCAACGTATAAACGTATAAAATCAATGATGAAAGAAGTCGTTGTAATTTGTTGTGCTACTTTCGTTAAAAAACACACACACACATAAGAAATAATTGTGGGAAACAAATTTTATAATATTATGTGAATTGTTTTTCTATGAACATTAAATAAACAAGATTCATACAAATTAAAAATATTTTAAAAAAACAGATACAAGTGTTAAATATAATAACTGGCCCCAAAATTTAACGTGACTGCATACACAAGGCAGGATTCGAACCCCTGACCTTGCTTAAAGGTGGATCAACCCTTACTGCTGAGAATATTTTATTTTTTTTACATGTAACACATTTTCTAAATGTGTTTGTTTTACGTTTTTTTATAAAGATGAGAAAAATTACAAAAATAGTCGTAATGAAAATTAAACTTAGGTTCCTATGCTTTTAATTACTTATAATTCTTGAATTTTGTTTGTTTCACGAATTAAAAAAAAAAATAAAAAATATATATATATATATATATACACACAGAGGAGGGTTCAAACGACACCGGTGTAACTTTAACTAAGTGTTACACCGCTTAATAACTTTATATTAAATGTAAATTTTGAAAATTCAACCGTTAGATTGAAAGTTCATATCTCTTAGATCATATATGTCAAATTTTGTTAAAATTGAACAACAACTTGAAGGTAATCAAAATGTTCATATTTTAGTATATTTTGAAATGTATATATTACGTCAATTTTGTTTTATGAGAATGAAGTATCAAATCATCTTAGATTAATATAAAATTTGACATATATGATCTAAGATATATGAACTTTCAATCTAACGGTTGAATTTTTAAAATTTACATTTAATATAAAGTTATTAAACAGTGTAACACTTAGTTAAAGTTACACCAGTATCGTTTGAACCCTCCTCATATATATATATATATATATATGACTTTAAAACTATTTTTAAAAATACGAATATGAAAATGTAGGTATTTGCATGTTTGTTTGGAATTTTTTAAAAAAATATTACTTGTTATTTTTCACCGATTTATAAATTAATGATATACTACTTCATTTTCATTTCCATTAAGAGAGAAACGAGAAAAATATATTTCCATTGAAACGTGAGAATTCTTTTCCAAACCCATTTATAACTACTTTCATTTCAAGTTTTAAAAATATTTTTAAGAAATATTTTAAACTATTTTTCTAAATAACATTCTTAACAGCGATATTTTAAAAAAGTGATTCCATAAATATAATATCATATTCTTTTGGGTGAATCAAAGTATTATTATTCAAGAGTTGAAAATTAATTATTTAAAGTATTGAGAAATTGATTTTTTTAATGAATGTTTTTTTATTCAAACAAATCATAGATCATATCTTAACCATATTTAAGAGAGAAAAGTTATCTATGTAATACCATATATCATACCTTAAAAAATATTCCTCTTATCGTATCGACTGTGAAATACGCATCTTCATTTTTTCCACACCAAAAACACTGAAAGGACCGACATCATTTTGGACGTGAATGCTCTATAGTTGAGAAAATAATTGCACATCTTACAGTTACACTTTGCCTCCCACCATTTTTAAAGTTTCATTAGCAATATACGAACCCTTTTTATAGATGTAAATAATATTTTTTTTCAGCGTGTAATTTTGTATAGCAAAGTAGAGCATTCAAATCCATCTCGAATGCAGATCGAAGTTTAAAAAATAACTGAACGTTAATTTCTTATACTCGTATACTCCTTTTTTTTATATATTGAAATATATTTATTTTTACATTTTTTATGTTAAGAAAATAGTAAAAATACATTGCATTGCTCTATTATATGTCTTGACTTTAGCGTGTGTTTGCTTATAAGTTGAAAACGTGGAAAACCACGTTCAACGTAGAAGCTATTAGTAATAGCTTCTACGTTGAACGTGATTTTTCACGTTTTCAACGTATAAGCAAACACACGCTTAATATTTTAGCAATGAGGAGAATCTTTTACATTTAATTTTTTTCTTATTATTATTTATTAAATATAATAAACTTTTCAAATATTGATTTTTTAAGAATGTTAAATATTCCGTGGTACCACCTAATATACATTCAACCACGTGATTGATTAGGTAAATCAAAATACAAAAAATGAATGGGTAATTTCAATTTCAAAATCTCCAACATGACCATAATAAATGGGTGACAGCTAGACAAAAGATAAGAGTTAATTATTTTAGTATATTTTTACCAATATAGTATGGTTTTTTTTTTTGAGAAAAAAAATACAGTATGGCTATTAATGATTATATTTCTTAATTTAGCGGTTGAGTATCAAAGTCTTCAAGTATAAAAAAATATTTAGAGAGAAGTTATCGTTAAACCCTAAATCCTAATCCCTTAAATAAATTACCATACTTTCGAATATTAGCCTCTCATTTTCAACCGGAAAATATCCTAAAGAAAAAAATTATAATAATTTTTTTATCTCCCTTTTCTTATGCTCATTTTTTTTTACTTGCTTAGCTTTCTCGTGTATTTAAGGATGTAAATGTGTCGGATAAACTCGATCAATCAGATTACTCTAACCCAACCTAAATTAGTATGAATTAGTTTCATCAAACTTATGAGTCAAATCAAATCATCCACTTGATTCATAAACTCAAGCTACTTCGTTTCTTGTTAGAATTCCAACCCAACCTAAATTGACCCATGTTGACTCGTAATCGTATTATAAAAAAATAAATATTTATTCTAAAAAGATAAAGACAACGAATAGTGCGTATCAGCAACACGTGAGCTAAACGCTTCAACCCAACCACTTTGCAATATATTACACAATTTTGTTAGCAAAAACATTATCAATTAATGGACTATACAATAACATTATGGCACGAGGATATTATTAATTTTCACAATATAAAATATAATATTTTTCTCTATCTCCGGAACCTCTTCCTAACACGATCGAACTTGGTTTGGTTTGTGGTTGACTTGGTCGCATTATGTAATGTGAATGTCTTTCTCTCCTACAGTCTTGGTCCTAATCTTATAAATATTCGTTGCCTCTTTCCAAACACCTTCTATCCATTCTCCACTCACTCTATGTATTCACCTTCACAACTTCTCTTCTGAATCTGCATCTTCTTTCTGTAAGTTCTTCCTCTTTCTTCTCTTATGTATTCTTCTTGTTTATTTTTAAAAGATCCCACATCGAATACACTTTTAATAAGGGGAAAATACTGTATATAAGTTGCGAAAATCCTAGCTCACAGGTTGATTTTGATTTTCCATTTTTTTTTATTACAGATCTACCAACATTTTCTCCAGAGCATAAGACTCTTCTGAAACTTTTCGATTCCCAAGTGATGCTATGCTTTTTTGTATGTTATATCTGTTGTTGTGTTTCTCTAAAATGAAAAAACTCACGTTCTTTAGATTTGTTGTTCTATTTCCATTTCTCTATTACAGATCTGCCAGCATTTTCTCCATGAATTGGGACGCTATTTTGAATCTGATTCTTTTGCTCCTTAATAGTTGTATTGATTAGACTCTGACTTTTCTTGAAACCTTTCAGCTCCCAAGTGATGCAATTTGTTTTGTTATGTTTCTCTAAAATAAAAAAAAAAAAAAAAGAGAGAGAGAGAGAGAGAGAGAGAGAGAGAGTCTTTGTTTGTCGTGATGCAACGCTTAGATTTGTGTGCTCTTGTGAATTAATTAGGCTCTGGAGCGTGGAGTTCATTTTATAAATCAAATCAAATTTCCGTGTAACATATGTTAACCCTTCCAAACAGATTGTAAGGTTTTCGAACATTGAGTTTTATATCATTGGTTAATTCCAGATCTGTTAGTTATACTTATTTGTGCTCCTGGTTCTGGAGTTTTCTTGTTTTGGATAAGGATATTTGACTCTTGATATTCATCTTATAACAATTAACAGGTGTAATAGACAGATAAATTTTATCATTATCATCATTTTCCTTTTTTGTGGATTAAGATTTGAATGGATATTAATTTTGACTTAAATATTTGGTTCTATAGAGGCAATTTTTTTTCCTTCTCAGTCCTTGTTTTATGTTGAGATTCATGGAAAACATTCGAAGCTTGTCTTTGTCAGCGATTTACATTTTTAACCCTGCTGATTAAACTTTTTTTCTCCTATTTGTATATATCAAGTATGTCTAATTCATATGTTAATCCTATTTGATCTATTTAGCAAATATGAACTTGAAGAAAATGGAAGTTACAGGAGGCTAAGTCTTGGCAACTTCTATGGCCTACTCTGGTATGCCTTTATGATTTTGTTTAACATCGATTGCTTTTTTATTTAACTTCAAATTATGACAACTCTTTGCCATAATGTACAGGTATCTGGGCAATGTGTGAGGGAGGATACAGCTTAGGCAGTTTAAGAAATAATTTGCAGAAAACAATTAAGAAGAATCACTGTGAGAGCAGAGCAATTGTTATGGAATTTGAATCAGACTGGACAAAGCATAGAAAATCATCTGCTCATACTGCTCAAGTGATTCGTTCTGCAACATCTTTTATGCCTTGGTCTTGTAGAATCCCAATTGGTGAAGGATTTTATGAATTTCTTTAGTTACGTGCTTTTGAGTTACACATTTGCGCATTATTTGGTTCATTGATCTCGACAAAAATTCTCTACATCCTCGTCATATTTTTTGTGTAATCAAAAGATGCCTGGTTTTGCTGTTGGAAAGAAGAGATTTATCCAGCCAAACATGTGTTTCACCAATTTGATCAATCAAGATAAATCAACTCTTTCACAAAGCAATCATTGTTTGATCCCCAAGGCACTGAATAAAGATTATAGCCCCATTCTACCTGGTCTGCCAGATGATGTGGCAGAGTATTGCCTAGCACTTGTGCCTCGTTCCAATTTCCCTGCTATGGGTGGAGTCAGTAAGAGATGGAGGTCGTTTATTCAAAGCAAAGAATTTGCTACTGTGCGAAAATTGGCTGGTATGCTTGAGGAATGGCTCTATTTCTTAACAGTGGACTGTGAAGGAACGGAGAGTCATTGGGAGGTTATGGATTGTGTCGGTCAGAAATGCCGATCTCTTCCAGCAATGCCTGGTCCAGAAAAGGCTGGGTTCGGAGTGGTGGTTCTTGATGGAAAGCTTCTTGTCATGGCTGGTTATGCTACTATTGAAGGAACTGCCTTTGCCTCAGCTGAGGTTTACCAATATAATTCTTGCCTCAATAGGTATGATTTTCTTCAGCATTCTACATATAAATCTTGGGATGTTGTTACATTTGATAAATTCATCTTTGTAGTTTAGTTAATGGGAGACCTATTGTCCCATTCTTAATTTGTGAAACATAATGTTGTGTTCCCATATCCACTAATAATATGATCAAAATGGAGTATATATAAATGGAGACAACTTTCACCTCACAAGCCAGGTTGAGTTTGGTCATCAATTTTTTCTACCATTGTAGATGAGTACATTAGACACACTTAGTTGTACTTCATGAAAACCAAATCTGAGGTACCGGGTAAAACCAAATGTATTGGATCCAATAATGAAAAAGAAATCATTCTAACTCAATTTAATTAAATTGCTTGTAAGTCTCCTCTTATATACTCTATCTTGACCATATCATGACTCCAACAATTACTCTTATGAATTTTCTCATCATATACATGTGTGTGTGCTGTGTTTTGATTTTCTTTTGATTTGCTCCATTCTCCATTTCAATTGCAGCTGGAGCAAATTGTCAAACATGAATGTGGCTCGTTATGACTTCGCTTGTGCTGAAGTCAATGGCTTGGTTTATGCTGTTGGAGGCTATGGTGTGGATGGTGACAGTCTCTCCAGTGCTGAGGTGTATGATCCAGACACTGACAAGTGGACACTGATAGAGAGCATTCGTCGCCCGAGATGGGGTTGCTTTGCTTGTGGATTTGAGGGTAAGCTCTATGTCATGGGTGGAAGGTCAAGCTTTACAATTGGAAATTCCAAGTTTGTTGATATATACGACCCTGAGAAGCACAACTGGTGTGAGATTAAGAATGGATGCGTTATGGTCACAGCTCATGCAGTATTGGGAAAGAAGTTGTTCTGCATAGAGTGGAAGAACCAGCGGAAGCTGGCTATATTCAGTCCAGAGGACAATTCATGGAAAATGGTACAAGTTCCATTGACAGGTAGCTCAAGTATTGACTTTAGATTTGGGATACTGGATGAAAAGTTGCTGCTATTCCCTCTGGAGGCTGAACCTGCTTGTCAAACATTGTTATATGATCCAAACGCAGCTCTGGGGTCAGAGTGGCAAACTTCTGACATCAGGCCATCTGGTTTGTGCTTGTATTCTGTAACAATCAAGGCATAAAATTGAGTCTATTTGGATAAATTTCTTCATAAGTACATTTAGAGAACAAAAAATCAAACAAGTTTCTTTACAAGTTAAAAAATATTATTTGGAGAAGTTAACATGAAAGAACTATTAAAGCTAATTTTAACTTTTTGATAAGCTTATTTGGTTTTTCCTTCTTATGGATAAGTTTATCTAATAGACTCATTGAGAAAGTTTGGGATCCAGCTATGTAATTTTCTATGATTGAGGACAGTGGTGAGTGTGATTGTCCCTCACTAGTCAGTACATTAATTATCCGATTTTAATTTTGTGCTTTTGCTTGTTTGTGGCTTTTATTTACTTGGCTCTTAGTGTTTATCAAGAATGCTGTTTGTGTCTCTGCACAATTAGGGATCCTTGGTCTTGTAATTGTCGACTTTTTGCAGCACCATTTCAAACTGATGGTGGGTGAGTTATTGTTGTTGTTCCCTTTTGGACTTTTGGTATAATAAAGCGACAACTTTAGAATTTTAAACTCATGTCTAGAGGTAGGTGCACGGGATAGGCTGTCAAGCTTTATGACTGAAAGACACAAACAAGTTGAGTGTATTAGGTGAGACATAAGGCGTGTTTTGCATGATTGTGATTTATTTCTCTTCTCTCACTGTATAGAGAGAGATATTGTCCATTAAGATCAAAGACACAATTAGTATAATATTTTTAGAAAGGTGCATTATTCTTTAAGTAATTATATATTAACAGGGACATATCTATATTTAGAGGATTTGGGAAGCTTGCCAGCTTCCTTAACAAGATTTTTGCACATATATAAATTGTTTCCATAAACTAAAATATAGCCTAAAAAGTTTATTATATGAGTACTGCCTCCACTGATTGTACATATGAATATTGTTGTCACAATTTTGGATTTATGATCCGTTTCTCTCTCTCTCTCTATATAAATAAGTTAAGCAATTATATAGTTTATATTTTATATTAACTCTCTCCAAGAAATCCTTCACGTCGTTGATATGGCATTCCTTCCTATCCTTTATATGCATGTATACTGAGAATGTTATTTTTATTTTTTTTTCTTCCTTTTTTTATGAGAACGAAAATGTTTAATTTGAGAGATATAACAATGGATTTGACTCTTTTAAAGTAAGAATTTATATTTTAAAAATTTACTCACAATTGTTGATTAGAAAACTAAAAAATGAGAAGTATGATTAAATTAAATTCTTGTAGAATAAAAAATAAAATTAATTATAATATTAATCACTAATTTTTAGTTAATGATTATTATTATACTTTATTTTTTAAAGTATAATTTTTTAAGTTTAGAGGAAACAAATCTTATAATTATACATAAATGATTAATATTTAAAGTCACTATCATTTAAAAGAGACATGTAATTATAAAAAAAGGTGTGTGGTGTCAATTTTTTTTATTCATTAAAAAATTTAATAGTTAGCATTTAGCCTTCTCATTAATACAGGAGAGATATGAGAGAGAGACATCAAGTTAAAGGATTTGTTAGGAGGGGGAAAGGAATAAGTCATACACAAAATAGTTGTAAAGAGTTAAAATTAAATCATAAAAAAATGTATTTTTTTAAAATGATCATGTGATCATTAAATAATTTTTTTAAAAATATAATTAATAATTAGTCATTTCATGAGAAAAAAAAATTAGTGAATTAGTTATTTCATGAGAAAAATTTAATACATAAATTCGAAGTATTTAATATAATTATATATTCATGAATTAATATCACTAATTAAACTAAAATAATTTTGTATCAATTAATATATTTTTAATTATTAGATGTTTTTAATTTTAATCACTCACATATAAAATTACTAATCTCATCATTTCATGTTATTATACAAAAAGTTCTCTCACTTCATATACGCAACACAAATACATGATTAATTATTATCGGATAAGAAAATTTTGTACTTATACAAATTAATAATATTGTGGGCCGCAAAATAACATTAAAATTTGATGTTATTATGTATATCGAATTCTTTATTAGGTTATAATTTGTTGATTTTTTATCTAGCAAAAGACATTTATTCACATTTTAAATAATCATTATATGTCAAAATAAAGTACTAGTATATTAGTTGTTTTTTTATTTGCATAAAAAATATATAAAACTATATTTTATGAAATTTCAATTAAATTATTAGATTAATTAATTAAAAACATGTATCACAAAAAAAAATTACACCAAAAAATACATGACAAAAAATATATGTGATATAATCAAGAGCATTTATCACTAAATTAAAAACTTATTTTATTAATTAAGCAAGTCATTTATTGAACATGTACTAGAACCAATCCAACAAACACCCTTACCAACCATTGGACATACCAAAATGTCATGAGGTATTGGGAGATAATTTTAAGAGTAAATGAAGGAAGAACACAATTTTAAGGGTAAATGAAGTTTCTCTTCGAACTATTTTTATCTGATAACTTTTTTATGTATATTACTTATTTAATAAAGCTTGGTAATGAATGTAAATAAATATAAGTATTAAATTGCTTTATTATGTTTGTCTAATAAAAACAATTCATATAAAAATAAATAATATATATAGGGGTTATAATTACACTAGTGTAATTTTTACTAAATATTACATCGCTCAATAATTTTATATTAAATGTGAATTTTGTAAATTCAACTGTTAAATTAAAAGTTCATATCTCATATATACAAAATTTTATATTAATTCAAGATAATTTGATACTTCATTTTTATAAAATAAAATTAACGTAATATATTCATTTTAAAATACACTAAAATATGAATATATACGTATAAAGTGATATGAACTTTCAATTTAACGGTTGAATTTACAAAATTCACAATTAATATAAAGTTATTAAACGGTAAAAGTTACACCGATGTAATTATAACCCCCTCATATATATATATATATAGGAGGGTTCAAACGACACCGGTGTAACTTTTACTAAGTGTTACACCGCTCAATAACTTTATATTAAATGTGAATTTTATAAATCCAACCGTTAGATTGGAAGTTCTTTACTCTTAGATCATATATACAAAATTTTATAGTAATCTAACATGATTTGATACTTCATTTTTATAAAACAAAATTGACGTAATATATTCATTTTAAAATATACTAAAATATGAACACTTTGATTACCATCAAGTTGTTATTCAATTTTAATAAAATTTGACATACACATATAAATTGATATGAACTTTCAATCTAACGGTTGGATTTACAAAATTTACATTTAATATAAAATTATTGAGTGGTGTAACACTTAGTAAAAGTTATACCGGTGTCATTTGAACCCTCCTCATATATATATATATATATGTGGAACTATTAAAAAAGGCAGTTTCATCTACCTCTTGCTTTTGGGCCCTTGACCATCGCACAATCCACAAATTCTTTTTGTAACTTTCTTTTTTCAAAAAACATTCTTCATAAAAATTAAATTGTCAAAATGATGACATACAAAAAAAAAAAAATATTGAAATATTGTCCGAGAAGAAAGCAATGAAGGTGCCAAAAGGAGATAAAGAAGAAAAGCACTGTCATGTAAAAAATAACATAGATTTCTAATTTAAACATGACAGTTTGCAATTTTAATAGTTTTAAATTTTTAATTAGATCATTTGTAATAGACAAAATATATAACTAGACGGCCTTAGACCATTTAATTATAAAAATAACAATTTGTAATTGAAATTTTAGAAAAAATAGTTTGAAAAAATTAAATTACATTTTTAGTTTTCTTATTTTTATCAATTCATAATTTTAGTCCTTTTATTTTAAAATAAAGACATTTAACTCCTTTAATTTAAAAAAATAAAATTTTGATATTTTCATCAAATTAACATTTATTAATGATTAAGTTTTAATATTTATTCACATTTAAATGATGTAATATTTAATAATATATCATTTAAAGATAAAAGAAAACAAATAAATATAAATAAAATTTATTAGTAAAATAAAAATTAATAATTATTAAAATATATACAAATAAATATTTTTATGTTATTTTTTAATTTTTAACTCTACATATCATGTCAGTTAAGTGATAATAGATTACTGAATAACATCAAAATTTATTAATAAAAAAAATCAAATTGATGATAGGACTAAAATTTTATATCTTAAAAAAATAAAAAATTAAATATTTTTATTTTAAAATAATGGGACTAAAATTATAGATTGACAAAAATGAAAAGATCAAAACACAATTTAACTTAAAAAAAATACATAATAAATAATCTAATTAAAAAAATTAAAATTCTATTTAAAAATTTGCAAATAATTCAAAGACCTACTTAATAATTTAATTTATATAAATTGAACGTTAATTTTGTTCATTACAAATCTAAAATACTTTTTTAATTAAATAAAAGTAAAAAAAACAAAACAAAACACAAAATATAATAATAATTTTAAAATAGTATCGACATACCCTTTTAACACATTCTCCACGCCCTCCTAATAATTATGTCATGTATGTTTTACATTCTAATAAGTAGTTTAAATATATATATTTTTAGAATAAATATAGTTTTAGTCTTTTAAATTTAAAGTAAATTTATTTTTTTATTTTAGTTCTTACAATTAAAAAAAAAAAGACTTGTTTCAATATTGCAAAACAATAACATCAATTAGAGGAATGAAATTAGTTAGTTATGCAACATAATTAAATTTAATGTAATATTTTTCATTAACAAATACACAACTCTATGAATAAATTATATGTAATTGATAGGATAATAAATAAGTTTTTTTTTTTATAAATTGATTAGTTATGTAGAAAAATAATATCATGTTTTACCAATTATTTCTAAAAGATAATAAATAATAAAATTATATAATGATAAATTGTCATTAAAAATGCATATAGTTATAAAGTGAAATTTATAGAAAAGAGTAAAAATAATTATAAAAATAAAGTTAACAAAAAATTGTGTACATCAAAAAATTCAATCCCCTTTATTATAAAAGAAGACATTTTATTAATAATAATATTTAAGAAATTTGAGTAATATGCAACTAATTTTTTATTTGAATTTTGTTATCGCTATATATAATGACAAAATTTGGATAAAAAAATTTAGAAATGTAAAATTAAATTTTTTTATATAAAGGAGCCCCTGTCATAATGAAGATCCACTGACTATATAATTTTTATTGAAAAAAAAAATTGAGCAAAAGAATTGAAAGTTTGAAATAAATATTTTTTCAAATTATTAAAAGTTAATTTTAAATTTAAGAGATGATTTATTTATTTATTTTCCACTTGTATTTAAGGTTAAAAAACGTACTTAAATCTTGATCAGTCATTTCAAAATTTTCACTACAAGAGTGACAACACATACTCTTGTGTAAAGAAAGAAAAAACCTTTGGTCGAACACCTTCTCTGCACAGTGCACCATGTTTGGCTCTGCGCAACCTTCTTCTCCTTTCGGCACTCCCTCTTCAACCCCCGCATTCGGCACACCTTCTTCCACACCTGCGTTCGGTACACCTTCCTTCGCTACACCTTCTTCCACACCAGCGTTCGGTACACCGTCTTCTACACCTGCGTTCGGTGCTTCTTCTACACCAGCGTTCGGTTCCTCCCTCTTCTCCACACCCTTCTCTTCTCAACCGCAACAACAGCAACAAACGCCACTCTTTCAACAACAACAACAGCCACAACCTTCTAACGCTTTCGGTTTTCAAAACTCCCTCGCGCCGCCGCAACCCTCTCCGTTCTCAAATGCTCAATTAACCACTCAGATGGCCAACGTGGCACCTGTTCCGTTCTCTCTCGCGGATCGCGATGTTCAGGTTTTTTTTTTTTTTTTCTTAATCATTTTTGTTTTCTTTTAATTCTTTATTGAATGATTTTGTGGGTTGTGTATGCTATCCAACTAGGCTATCCTTGATGCTTACAAGGAAGATCCTGGAAACCCCAAGTACGCTTTTAAGGTACCCTCCTCACTGTCTTCATTGAAAAAAGATTACAAAAATGTCACCTTTGTGAAGTTCTTGTGTATGATGTTAGCCTCGTTTGAGTTATGAGCAGAGTTAATATATACTCGGGTATGGATTTCATAATATGCACTTTTTTTTTTCTTTCATAATTTTGAAATTAGGGTTCAAGTTCAAGTCCACATTAACATTTTTTTTTCTGATGCTATGTGGCAAATGTTGGAATTGCAGTTTTTTGTTGGTCTTCACTTTTTCTCAGATTGATGTTGGTGTGTTGTTCAGTGTAACAGAACCGCAGTTTTTGTTCATTTGTGAATTAAATGATGTCTCCTTTGTGAAGTTCTTGTGTTTTGTGTTAACCCGATTTGTGTAACGAGCAGAGTTAGTATAGATTGATGTTGGTGTGTTGTTCAGTGTAACAGAACCGCAGTTTTTGTTCATTTGTGAATTAAATGATGTCTCCTTTGTGAAGTTCTTGTGTTTTGTGTTAACCCGATTTGTGTAACGAGCAGAGTTAGTATATACTTGGGTTTGGATTTCGAATATGCACCTTTTTTTTTCTTCATAATTTTGAAATTAGGGTTCAAGCCCAAGTCTACATTAACATATTATAACTTTGATGTTATGTGGCAAATGTTAGAATTGCACTTGTTTGTTGGTCTTCGCGTTTTCTCAGATTGGTGTTGGTGTTTTGTCCAGCATTTGTTGTTCAGTGTAACAGAACCGCAGTTTAGAGTGAAGCCTGCTGGTGTGTCAGACGTAAGTTTGTGTTTTTTTGTTTTCCAGTAAACACTCTAGTTGGCTGCTTCTTTTACTTTTTTTTTTTCCAGCACTGGCTAATTATGGGAATAGTTTATGTTGCTAGATCATGTGGGCAGAGGCGATGGGTAAGCTTGAGGGTATGGAAAGTGCTGACAGAGAACGTCTGTGGCCACAACTTGCTCAGGGTTTTAAGGATCTTTCACAACGTCTTAAGGTAAACATTGAAATGACAACTTTCTTCCCTTCCATTACAAAACATCCGAACAGTATGATAATTTTATTTTATTTTACTGCATTTTGTTCCATTTCACTTATAGTGATTTTACATAATAGAGATGTGTAAATTTCGCTTTGTTAACAACTAGAAGAGTACTAGTAACTTAATATATGATCTTTCGAAGAAAATTTATGTTCATCTGTGGCTTTTTTGGCATGTTTCTGTAGTTCATTTTCTAGATATCTTGCATAAATGGTCATCAATTTCAAATTTTGGTGTACTTAATAAACATTGATGCCTGACAAGTGAACTTCATTTTACATGCAAAAGTTATTTAGGATCCATTGAGATAAACTTTTCTAAAAGCACTTCTAAGAGATAAAAAATAGAAAGAGAAATTGAAATAAACTTCTATATAAGCTAAAACTATCTTATGCATAAGTTAAAAATGAGATCTTGGAAAAGCTAATATGAGAGAGCTTCTACAAATATCTTATGCATAAACTAGTTTTAGCTTATAGAGGATCTTTTTCCATTTTTCCTTCTTAATTTTCTCTCTTAAAAGTGTTTCTGAAGAAGTTTACTCAAATAGACCCTTACAAGATTAACAGAGGATGTCAATATTTTCAAACCAAGATTAAAATGTATAATCAGATAGGCCAAGCTATGCTAAAAATATTATGGACAATGATAAAAAGGATAAGTAGACACCCCGACAATGTTTTTTTGAAATTAAGGTGAGTTGGGTGCTTTTAGGAACATAACATGATTAACATCTCCAATGGTAGTAAATTTAGATAAATTGTCACCGAACCCTGTATTTACTGATTTTGGCTTTTCTGAATGGACTTCTCACTCATTACTAGGTAGACATTTAAATGATAAAATGACTATATAGTGATGCTTTGAGTATTGTATTTTTTGAGTTGTATCCATCAGTCAATATTTGATGCAAGAAATGGAGAATGCACCAAATTATGATATAGAAATTGATGAAATCAGAGCATGGATATAATCTAAGCCTAAGCCTTGAGGATAAATTTTTTGCTTACATTGTCACGCAGATACAAGATGAAGTCATTGTTTCTGATGCAGAGAGATTACGTGTAACCCAAAGCAATGTTAAAATGGTAATGCTCTCGCCGTTGCTTGCCTAGAGAAATGCTAATTTGGTACTGGTTTTTCTATTGTGCATTGCTGAATTGTCTTTCCAATTGTTTGATGCCTTTTGCAGCTCCAGAGACATTTTCAAGCTGATACTCTTCCGTGGATTCAAAGGCTGAAACAAAAAGAACAAATTCTACAGCAACGTCTTTTAAGAGTAGGGACAACTATTATGTTTTTGAGAAGTAGACTGTTTTCTTGATTGTAGAATGAATCAATTCTCCAGCACAATATTAGCTATTGTAATAAGCATTTGATACAAAGTTTTTACATTTCTCATTTCATCTGGTGTTCTCTTCCTCTCTCCGATTATCTGCCCCTAGTAGCTTTTTGATTCTTAAAGTCACAATGATGAATTATAACAAGCATTTTTTTATTCGTTGCCCCTTCATTATATCTTCTCATGTTTTGATTCAAGGTAATGAGAATAGTAGAGGCTTTGGAGGGAAAAGGCTGCCGTATACCCTTAACAAAAGGGGAAGCTGAACTTGCTGAGAAATTAGCGACAATAACCAGACAGGTAGAAATGTTATCCAACACCATCTTCTGCCTATTACTTTTTGTTGCGGAGATGGAACTTAAATGGAAATATCTTTTCAGCTGAAAGGATCTGGATCGGAATTGTCTAGAAGGGTACAAAATCTACTAACTGTATCTCGTGGTAAAGCGAACAGCAATGGATTTGGTGGCTCCGTTTATCTTCCGGGGTCAACCAAAATTCATGAACAGAGTCTTACTGACCTACAGGAGGTAAAGATGCAACCAACTTGAGAGATTTATTGCTCAACATCTTGATTTTTTATTTGTGTTTTTGCTTTTTTGTTTTTTTTTTAAAAAAGCTTATTTGTAAAAAAGATAATGCATCTGACACACAATGTAACGATGGCCCATTTTGTGTGAGCAGGTTTTACAGCAGCAGATGGAGGCCATTGGAAGACTTGGCGGTGTTCTGAAGCGAGATATACGGGATATGGAGATTATGATGCATGAGGACACAGGAATGGAAATGGGAATTTAATCTCAACTTAATCGAGAAATCTTGAGCCTTCTTGCGTTGTATCCGCATTTTGTTTATATATTTTTAATCTATTATGATTTGGAAACTAATGTAACGAGCACATCAACATATTATGTGCCCTTTGTGCTGTTGATCGGAAGTTCCCATCCCTTAACTTTGAGAAAGCGTTATGCAAATTTCTGCGTTGCTACTTTGTAAACTTTAAATGAAATCAAAATTTGCTATTAAACTATTTTATGACATTAAACAACAAAATTATGCATCTTTATTTTAGGTATCTTTGGGCTGGAAATTTTTTATATTAGTAAGAAAAATTATAAAGTAACAGCGAAAACTAAATTTATTTCTTCGTGTATTCACTTCAACGCTCCCACCACTTGGTAGTTAGACTGGACTCGAAGTGTTTAACTCTACATCATTAACAGTTGCATTTTATTTTACTTTTTTTTGGGTAATACAGTCGCACTTTCTTTAATTTATTTGATTTTTTAAAAAATCAATTAAAGTGGAATTAGTTAATATTAATCTATGTAATTTGTTACCTCAATACGAATTATTCGTTGTTTAAAAATATCCTCCATGCTGTCTATTTTTTGTAGCATCGACAATACCAGTCTGTATAATTATTAGTTAGTAGCGTAATTCAGATTCGAAGGCATCATATTGATAAATTTTCGGCGGTCATCAAGATTTGAGAGATCCCCAACCGTAAGCTAGCAATTTGAATTCCATGTAGTGAAGTTTACTGTGGGGATTAATGTGGCAAAAAACCCACCCCTTAACAACCAAAAAAACAGATAAATTAACTATATGGTGAAACAATGAGTGTCAATGGCTTCGATGAAATCATGTAAGTAGAAACTTTCAGTGTAGATCTGCAAATCATTTTGCACATGAAACTGCGGTAGAGCATAGATCGGACGCCCCTGCAAAGCATCAAAATTCTAAATTGTTAGTGATGATGATTACCATTTCTAAATTGTTAGTGTTGACGATTACCAGAATGAACTTGAAATAAAAGAAGGCACAATCATATGAATAAAAAAAGTCAAGGGAAAATGTAGCCATAACTTTCCTATGCCATAAAAAATCAACAGTTTTATGTAAGGGAAGAGTTGATCATAAAGGAAATCAGATGTAACAGAAAGATATCTGAAAGTATCAAATCAAGCATCCTTTCAGAACTTCTTGAGCCAATTAGAATATCTTGCGTGCTTTGACCAAAAATGTTCCACATAGCTGATTGAGTTTCAATTTCTTTAACAAGTTTATGGTACAATATTTCCTTGAGCAAATCATATTTGTCAGTAAGTTCCCAAACATGGTTACAATTACAACTGGTTTGACTTCTAAACATCTGTACAGAAGAATTTGAGATGGTCCATGAAAGGGTAGCACCATCAACCATCAGATCTCCGTTGAAAGAAGGTGCCATGCCTATATATGGTTTAGAAACTTTCTTAATATTTTACGGGGGAAATTACTCATGAAGCATATTATTCCGTAACATAAGTTTCCTGACTAGTATATATTTGCCCACAAAAAGCAAAAGACAACTTACCATTGAGTAAAACATCTCAGAAGAAGATTATCGAAACACCCATCATAAAGCAACCCACAGCTACCCATGGGCTTAAACGTTCACCTGTTTAGGTAAACACACAAACATAGTCAAGATAGTATCACTAATTAGATTTCATATCTCATGAAATATATAATTCTTTTATGGTGAAACAGGGCATACGCCCAAACAAAAAAAAGAGTTACATGTGGATAAACCAAGGAGTAATGACTTATCAAGAATGAGCAACTGAGTTAAATATATATTTTGTTCTCAATTACTTTATAGCATTTTCTTGTATAGCTTTGTAAACAAAGAATCAAACAATGAAAATCTATTCTGCCACATATCCCACCATGCTGGTGCAGCATTAAATGCAAGGCAACAAATTGAAGTACTACAAGGCAAAGCTAGAAATCTAATAACCATTAAATGCAAGGCAACAAACTTGAGTACTACAAGGCAAAGCTAGAAATCTAGTAACCGGTGCCACAACCAACCTTGTGAAGGACCCCATAAGTAGCAACTAGAAGATCACAAGGATAAAGAATTATTGAGAATGGATGTTCCATGATAACTAAAAGATTTATGAAAATGATAGATAAGTAATAATGTAGCATGTTGAAGCTCAAAAGGATATACTATATAGAGTATAGGCAGTATACTTAATTGATAATGGATATTCCACAATAACTATAAGATTTATAAAAATGACACATAAGTATGAAAAACACCAAGAGGAAAGGTTGAGATTGTAAAGGATATAATCATGATTCAGTACACAAGTAAAATGAGGATGGAACCATAACCCAACCTTTTTATATTTGCATCACTAGTAATGTATCCCCAGTTATCCACTGGGAATAGGGAAGTCATAAACAAAACTATGTTCTTTGGTCCAAGTTAATTAATTCAATGTATGTTAAACTTGACAAATCTGAAGTCATCAAGGAATCAATCACATGGGAAAAAAGCAAAAAATCATCACAGAAGAAATCAAATGAAAACTTCCAGGGTAACCCATTTTAGGACTCCTTCCAACCCTCTTTCCAAAGCTTAAATAAAATAAAAAATAATTTTAAAAATGAATATAAAACAGATGTAAAAAAATAACAATGCAGCAGCAAATCAAACAAGAGACAGCTACCTATTCTTGCCGCCTTCCAGAAGAAACCACGAAATCTGTCAGGAAAGCATGTATGTCATCAAGTCAGTTAGTTCAGCAAGTTCTAATAATCTGTCATAAAGAATGAAAACACTAGCAAAATATACATCCAACAGTTAAAAAAGAATACAATTACAATAAAGACCTTATGATAAATTGAATTTTGAACATGTAAAATTCAAATGTACATATTATCAAACACTTAAAAAGAAAAGGGAAGGGTAAGCGAATATAATGCAGTAAATGGTGATTTTCCTTCCCTTTGTTTGAATGTTCAAAATTAATTGTAGAGGAAATTTAAAAAGTTCATAAGAATTAGTAAAGGAAGGTCTTTGAGGGGTGACATGATAATCCCCAATTTTCTTTCACTCATTTCATAAACTCCCAAAGAAGAGAAAGGTTCAAAGTAAACTCTCCCTTCCCTCTCCCTTTATTCTCCTCTATCCAACCATGCACAATAAGAGTATTGAATACTATGGTATTGCTTTCTACAGACAGAGTTGCACCAAAACCAACATTGCTAATAAGATCTGCACAGCTACGTAGCTATGCTACTTGAATGAAAAATTATCAACATACACAGAAACTGTTTAAGTATCACAATCCAAATTTACACATGGCAAGAGAAGTAGATTTATATACCCAGTTTTCTGGTCAAGGATTGCCGGAAACTGCATCTTGAAATAAGTGCAGGCACATATGCCCAGAAGTATCACAGTTAGAAATGAATGGAAATTGAAAAGCGCAGACTGAAACCAAAAAAAAAAAAAAAAAAAAAA